TTAGTATGTATCCACAACAATGAGCCATACATGAGTGGTTATATGCACACCAATGTTCATTGCAGCACTATTCACAATAGCAAAAAGATAGCTTAAATGTCCATCAACAGAAGAAAGGTTAAAAAAACTTTTGTACATACACACAATGGAATACTACCACAACATTGAGAGATAAGGATGCATCTGCAAAACACCTCACAACATGTATGAATCTGGAGGACATTGTGCTGAGTGAAATTAGTCCATCACAAAAAAAACAAATAGTGCATAGTCCATGATTGTACAAAGTTTTTTCTTGATAAAAGAAACATTCTCTCCCGTTGACCTAGAAATGAGAGAGGAAAGAGGAAGGACTAGTTGGTCCAAAGTGTGGTGAGACCTGGGGACACCTGAGCCCATGGACAAGGATATAGCCACAGAGAGCTAGAGCTGAGAGTGAAACATCCAGCTGATATGAAGTAAGGGGAGACACACAAGAACACCCAAACTTGCAGACAGTACCCATTTGACCTAGCCTTGATGGCTTGATAATCAGAACCCAACTTGGGGAAGATTAAAAAAAAAAAAAAGAATAAAACAATTTTTTATGAACTTGACCTATACTCATGGAGGTAGTAATACCAACAGAGAGGGTAGGAGTCTTACATCAAGTATCATTGCTTTCTCCTCCGTATTCAGGGTAAATAGGGACAGGCAACTTAGACATTGGTTACCTAAAATGAGGAGTCGATAAAGGCACGAAGTGACTAGCTTTTAAAGTTTCAAGGGGGAGGGGGGTTAGTTTAAGAATGTGGGGGGAGGTGGAGAAAGAGTCCTCACTGAATAGTTTTCATCTTGTCTAGATGGGTCTGGTTTAAAGAGATTGGGATAAGATTCTTATGATTCAATAGTAATTGTTATCATGACTAATTGTGACTGTCACAATTGGAAAGGTAGAAGTTTTGTAACAAAAACAGGGGAGTAGTTAATCCTACAGTCCAGAAACAAAGGATCCTAAGATCATCAAGGGAGAAGAGCACAAGCAGAATGTGAGACCTTATCCAGAGAAGCAGTGGCACTAGAGATGGAGGCAGAGATGGGGACATGGAGAGAGGGAGCAGCTGAGGATCTAGATTCATGGGAAGAGAGGGACTAAGAGATGGCAGCCAGAAGGTAGACTTGTGCCTTCTGGTGGTGGAAATTATTATATATGCCTGAGTGTTTTTTTTAAAAGAGAGCTAAAGTAGATAGAGAGAAATACTGTTAACTGATTGTACATGGAGGAGATTATAATCATTGCAGTGAAACAAGGTGTATGATTTGCTGAATGTAAAACTGATCATCTGCCCTGTAAACTTTCACTTAATGCACAATAAAAACTGTTAAGAAAAGAAAAGAATACAGAAAATTTACAAGAGAAAATAAAAGAGTAACATCTTTAACAAGAAAAAAAGAGAAAAGAAACATTCTATGATAGCTACCATGGGGGAGAAGAAAGGGAAAATTATTCACAGGATAGAGAACAGACACATGTTAATATGGATTGTTGTTGTTAAGTGCCATCGAGTTGGTTCCCTGAACAGGGTTTCCGAGGCTGTAAATCTTTACAGGAACAGAAAGCTTCATCTTTCTCCCACAGAACTGCTGGTAGTTTCAAACTGCTGATCTTGAGATTAGCAGCCCAATTCGTAACCACTATGCTACCAGAGCTCCTAAATATGGGTTAAGAGGTAGGCAATATCCAACAAGAGGCAAATTGGCAGAGGAAAAATTAAGGTAGTGGGAGACACAGGAAGGAATGCAAGAGTTAAAGTGTACACTGTTAACTGATGGTACACAGAGAGGATTGCAATCATTGTTCTGAAGGAAAGTGTATGACTTGTAGAATGTAAAACTGATAATCAGTGTAAACCTTTACTAAATTGGCAAGACAAAGTGTTTTTTTTGTTTTTTTTTTTTAAAAAAAGAGTACCATGGACTAACAGTAGGACAAACAAATCTTCCTGAATGCCAGAATGCTCCTGAGGAGCAAGAATGCTGCAATTGTATCTCTCGTACTTTGGACATTTGGACATGTCAGGAGGGACGTGTCCCTGGAAAAGGACATCATTCTTGATAAAGTAGATGGTCAGTGAAAAAAGGGAAGACCCCAATGAGGTGGAGTGACACTGTGGAAGCAACAATGGGCTCAAATAGAACAATTATGAGGATGACACAAGACTAAACAGGGTTTCTATGAGTCGGAACCAATTTATAACCAAGGCTGTAAATAACTCAAGCACCCAGTTCTTTATTAAATCAACTCAACAACACATAATAACAACCTAGTTTTCATTTAAAATATTGCTTAAAGATACCATAGACCAGAGGCTATGACATACAATTTAAAGATATTGGGTATCCAGAAAAAATAATATTAGAACCCAAGTCTTCCTAGAAACTTTCTTATAATCAATATGATAGAAAATCTCCTTAGAAGTCAGTTACTATGATCAAAACCCAGCAGTACTTAAATTTCAGTTCTCATAGTATGGGATCTGGGCCTTCAAATACGTCATTAAAAAGAATTAGGGAATACTAGAATATTAAGATTTATAATAAGTCTTGGGTATAATCCAGCAAAAATTCTACGGCAGAGCACATCTGACCTCTAACATGGAATCATCTTGTTGTTTTGAGTCATTTCAGTGAAAAGTAATTTCAGTAATTGCAGGGAGCCAACTATTCTAAATTTGAAAAACCTTAATTATTTAAAATGTCTTCTTACTTACCGAGCCAATCCTCACTTCCCAGTCACTTTCTACCATAGTAATTTTTACCCAGGTCCTAACCCTTCCTATTTGCATTACAGAGAGTAAGACAACCAATTCTTTCAATCCTTCAGTAGTTATCTAAAGACATTCACATCACTACTGACTACTGATCATGTGAAAGGGTCCCAACTTCCAAGACACAAAATGTCAGTTGTTGCCTAAGTGGTATCCATCATGCTGGGAATAGCTCTTACTAAACTGCAGATGAAATTAATATAGATTCATCAAGGTTATAAATAACTAAAACATCCAGTTCTTTATGAAATCAACTGCTGCTAAACTACATTTTCCCAATCCTAAATTTCCAGAATTAACCAAGACAAGACTTTCCATATGTTCTAATAAGTTTTACTCAAACTGTTTAGTCTGTCATTCCAAACATTGTTTGTAGAGTAGGTTCTGACTCATAGCAACCCTATATAAGGTTCCCAAGGAGCAGCTGGTGAGTTTGAACTGTCACCTTGCAGTTCAAATCGATCCTGTGGTCCAGTGTTTATTCTACAGTGCCACAGTCGAAATCTAGGAATTGAGAAGGTGACAGGCCCCATTAATTTAATTGCCTCTGACAAGTTGTGAACAATTGCTCTTAAAAAAAAAAAAAAAAATGTTTTTTTAAGTTTCTTACTTGGTTTTGAACTGTTTGTGAACAATTGGGGGTTTTGGATAACTCATCTGTGACTTATTGGTGAGTTTCCTTAATGTACACTCTACAGCATCCACGAGAGGTTGGAGTGGGATATCGGAAATGATGGGATACAGGAGCCTTCTTTATCTCCTTTATCCAGCAGTAAATGATCATTTACACCTGAGCTGGCAACTAAATTCCAGGATGCAAAGATATGCAACAGGAACAATTTACTAATGCTACTCCATCCCACTGGAAGACTGAAAGAATACAAAAATATGGGCTACTGAAAATGCTAAACAACTATACATACGACTGGTAGAGCTAGACAGGATCTTAAGAGGACCTCGCTGTCATACAAAGTTAGGAAAACTTCTTAAACTTACCAAGCATCTTGAGGAAAAGAGTCACCAGGCCAGAAGACTCAGGACCATAGTCCCAGGAGACACCATGGTCAGCTGGCATAGAATAGTCCCAAAAGACAATGTTCTACATCTTATTTTTGTGAGTAGCAACTGAGATCTTAAAGCTTATAAGCGGCTTCCAGCAAGATGACAGTCTAGTCAGACACACTACACAGACCCTCTACAACAACTATGCGAGAGACCAAGTGAAACAGACACAGATTAAAATCCTGGAGCCCTGAATTTCAGAGGAAAGGTTAGAGAAGTAGACTGAGTGCTTGCTGGGAGGAGAAACTGAGCAGGGATGGTGAGAGGGGAGACTGACTGGGGAACGACTGGCCTGACTCATCATGAGCATCTTGAGTTTTTGTGAGCAGCTTTGGTGACAGAAGGTGGCCTGGCAGAGCAGAGTCACACAAGTAAAGGGAAAGATGTGATTCCTTCTTTTTCCCCAAGCTTCCCTGGTAAGACCAGCTCCTACCCTCATCCATCCCCAGTGCAACCCCTGCTCTCTGGGAGTTTGGAGCCACTGGCTGGGAACCCCACCAGTGTGGTAAAAGTAATGTTACATTAAAGGGATGGAAATCACTGAGATGAAATGAAGTGTATGATTTGTTGAATGTAAAACTGATGATCTGTTCTGCAAACATTCACTCATTTCACAATAAAATTTATTTTTAAGTATTGGTACAAAATCATAGAAACCTTTATTAAACAAAAAGATCAAAATATGAAAAGAAAGAGTACCCCATTTTATAGAAAAAGACATTGAGGTCCAGAGAAGAACAATGACTTGCCAAATAACACTCAGCTACTCTACTTGCCACTTAGTGGAGATAGGCTTGCAAAACCTTTTCAATAATAAAATAGTAACAATAGCTAATAGTCTTTAAACTCCTTCTAAACTTGGTACTGGCTGAGGACTTCATGTGCTGATTCCATTTTTACTATGACTTGACTAAGGTAAAGAGCCTAGTTTTGAAGTCTCAAAATACTCATTCAGATTCTAAAAAGTTGTACGTCATAATTTTACAGCTCATCCTTTCCCTAGTTCCCTAAAGAAAGGATTTCTTGTTATTTTTATAATTATCTCCCAACCCCAGCCTTCATCAGAAAACATATGTGAAAGGACAGTATTTAAGAGGAAGCCCAGAGGTGAAAATAACCCAGCAAACTCACACCAAACACCTTCTGAGAAAGTCTAGGAAGCTGGTGTCGTAGGTTTTCAGCACCATCGTGAGATCCTTGGAGTCCGGATATCTTTTTTTCCCCCTGTTGTTGGTTATATTTTTAGGAAAACCTTTGGAATCTTTAGAAATACAACATTCTGTATTTAGTTCCAGGTGTAGATATCCATTGTTCACATCACAGCTGTTTACTCAACCCTGCTGCTGCTTGGAGTGGTCTTTGGAAGTTGTCCCATTCTCTATCTTACCCCCTCTACCCCACCTCCCTGACAAGCACACGTACAGTCTCAGTTTAAACACCCTCATGTAGATTAGGCAATGAATACAATGAAACTTAAAAACCAATTTTTCCTACTACCCAGTATGTTTTGAACCTCCTTCCCACCACCTCCTTTCCCAACCAAATGCTTAAAATAATTTAGCATTAGCCAACATAGTAGTAGCAACAGCAGCAGAAGAAACAGCAATAATAGTAGTGATGGTGAAAGAATTAATCTGAAGTGAAAAAAGCAATTAGCTCTAATCTACAAGGATATTATCGATCAGAAAGGATATATGTGTTCTTATTCTTTTCCTGCTAGCCCAATAAAGTGTTAACAGGGGACATTTTACAGGGCATAGCATGAAATTTATTTCAGTATAAGGATTTCTTTCAGAGTTCATAAATTATTTAAGCAAATAACTTCATTACCTCTTTCTAGTCACACCAAAATCAAATTCTTAATCAGGATAATCAAACTTAGTTGCTTGCTCAAGACATGACTTAGAACGGTTTTTAAGTTGTTTCCACAGATTAAATCCCTCACCAAATATATGATTTACCATCCCTGAAAACAAGCCCTGAAGAGACTTCCAAAGGCTCTCGGGAATGCTTTGCTCATTGTTTTGAAGGTGATACCTACCACTCATTTGGATGTTTTAATTCTAGTATGTATGTTCAGAAAAGTTGATCATTTCATGCTCACATTTTGCAAGTCTGTGTGTATATGGGTGAGCATGTATAAGTACACACACACTTTATACACAAAACTGAATTCTCACAAAAGCTGCTCAGTGAGGTTCTTTAATGGACAGTCTAGATAGTGAGCAGTGAAGTACTTCTATTACTTTTGAAACCATGCCATTTGTAAGGCTTCCCAAAGAACACCTACGTTTATTATATTACTGTAAAACAGACTTCCATGAATGCGTTATGCAGGGCTGATGGTTATTCAGCCTATATGTACACACTCGGATATCTGAGTATCTACATGGATACAAATGGATAAGGGGCATGTGTACGATAGAGGAACAATGAACTCATAAAAATCGCATTTCTTTTTTGATTACATCCCCAATGTTACCATCTTATTCCAAGTTCCTTGTTTACAAATAGTCATAGAAAACTCAAGAACATAGGTTTGTAAATAACATAGCTCCTAAAGCAATCATTAAATACTTATTTTTCTTGTTCAAGTTATTCTCAGTCCTCTGGATCTCCCCAGTAGCTAGCTTTGTTTGTTGGCCTCCTTACTGTCCTCTGTCTACAAAATGGTGTGTATATGTCTTTGGTACTCTTCTACCAAGCTGCTTATATTTTATCCCTTCTAGGCTTCACCTAAATACTACCTCACTAGTTCAGTGTTATTGTCTTAAAATGTGACTTCCCACAACAATGTCTTTAACACTAATATCCCAATTTTCCTTCCCTAAAATCCTTCAAAATCCAAAAGGCTGAGTTGTTAGTGGTGGGAGGAAAAAAATCTTCTTAGGGTCAAGAGACCAGTTCCATTGTTCCATGTATATGTTAAAACAGCGAGTCTATAATCAGACTAATGTGGAAGATAGGTAAATGTGCAGACATTGTTCTACAGTAACCAGGGCACCTCCTTTTGTTTACTATCAAGGTCTTCAAAACTCTGAGCATGATGTACAAAGATTTAACCATTGGTATGGCTTGGACATCACCAATCAGATTGGATGCCAACCTTGACACTGAAACTGGATCATGGAAGATTTCTGCTTGTCAAGGAGCCTGTGGTTTAAGGTTGTGGCTATGTATCATCTGGTACAGAAGTAGTCCCGGTGTGGTGCTGTAGAATAAGCACTGAACCACAAGGTCGGTTTGAATTGCAAGGTTGGTGGCTCAAATTCATCCAGCACACTCCTAGAAAACCCTATACAGAGTTGCTATAATCGGAACTGACTGGACGGCACTTAATAACAACCCCAACAATCGACACTTGGAGTCCTGGTGTGGCGTTGTAAGATAAGCACGCACTGGACTTCAAGGTCAGTTTGAACCACTAGGTCGGTGATTCAACCTCGCCAGTCGCTCCTCAAGAACCCTTTACAGAGTTGCTATGAGTTGGAACCAACTTGACAATTCTTTCCAACAACAACAACAACACAGAAGCGGTCCAACATTTAAATGGCCCCGTGACTGAACTAGTACATGTTGAATAACCATCAGCCCTGCATAACTCAAGAGGATCCCTAATGAGCAAGCTTTTTGACTTTCCTGTTATTAGGGTAAATTGTTGAAAAAAATCATGTGATCGGTCTCCTCCTTTCTAAGACCATTCTTGCTTGAAATTGAGAGATGGGAGGAATACTAGGAATAACTAGATTTTGACAGCCATCCGAGCCTGTGAATCAGCACGACCACAATGGTTGGTCAGAGATGTGATTCTAGAGGGCAGGGAGCGTGCTTGTGGAGTCTGCTTTGCTCCACTTGGCTGACCTTTGACCACTAAGGTTTTTCCTACGTGGGAATCCCTTAGCTTCTGTGGTTCTTCAGAAGGATTTCAGATCTGGGACTTACTTCATCTTTTTGGTCTACAGTGCCCTGACAGCCCTTCCTGGTGCCCTGCTGGTCCATCTTGCACAGCAGCACTCAGATACGAAGGCAGAGGACCTCAAACTCCAGAGCCTGGGGACTGTGATGGGGGGAGTGGCATGGGGCTGGAGATGAAACTCAACCCTAGCAGCACCGACAGATGATCTGTACGTATGTGCAACCAACACATGCCTACAACAAAACTGTTCTGAGCCCTTGCTTATCTAGGGTTTTGTTTTTACTAAAGTTGCAATAAACTCACTTTATAAAGGTTTGGGGGAGTGAGAGATTTTAAGTAAGAAAGAATAATGTTCCATTAATGATAAAAATGTAGCAATGGAATCATTCAATAGTCTTGAAAAGACACTCTTAGACTTCACTGCACAATGAGGGGAAACTGTAATCATGTAAGAGAGTAAATTGATTGGGAGAGGTGGGAAAAACGTCTAGGAGAAGGCATAATAATAATCTTTCGAGATTTGAAGATTTACTGATACATCTTCAGAGCAGGAACATGGTTTTTCTCTTGATCTTATATATTTTCACTGCTACGAGCCCATTCCACCCCATTCCCAAAGTGGCTCCCCACACCCCACCTCACCCCACTGTGTTCTCCATCATGCCATCTGGCACTACTTCTCAGCATCCTTTTATTTTTCTGAGAGCTGCTTCTCCCTTTGAGATAGGACAAAGAGAATACAACCAAATGGGGCTTAGGATATGGGAGGTATCTCCAAGGCCTGTGATACCTCATAAGTCACTATATGAAAATAGAGAGACCAGGGGACTTACCAAAGAATGTCTGTCTCCTGGAGGACGTCTGAATGAAGTGGGCTGGCGGCAGGCCCAGCACCTTCAACAAGTACAATGCAGTTGGTTCATTCTTAATGGAGTCACAGATTCAAAGACTGTTAGAGCTGGGTGGGACTTTGGTAAAACTTTGCTTTCTACAGATAAGAACTTGGGGATATTAAATGACATCATCAAGTCAGTGGCATTACAGACCTAGAGCCCAATGTCTAAACTCTTAATCCAGGGTTGCTTCAGTCTCCTGAGAGCCCACACTGGCCATTCTACTGTAAATGGGACATCGTTGTCAGTTAGGAGCAGGCCACTTTCCACGGCAGCTGATCTCATTGTCAGAACAAATAAACCAGAATACTACATACTGGTCACACCTGAATTTAGAAATGATATATCTCATTATGGAGTACTGGGAAAGGAGGAGAGGAACAGGAGGTGGAAATCACCAGATGAATCTCAGACTACCATAAGACAAAATGTCTTTTTAAAGTAGCATAGCATCCACTTGTTCAACTACCACTTATAGAAGTATACAGAGAAAGAGAAATTACAGAGTCCTTCTCAGCTGTGGACCATCTGTCATTGCAGCTGGGAACCCAGCTGTGACACTGTAGGATAAGCACTGGACTGCTAACCACAAGGTCAATGGTTCAACCCCACCAGCTACTCCTCAGAAACTCTACACAGAGTTGCTATGAGTCAGAAATGACTTGATAGCACTTAACAACAACAACAACAACCTTTATGGAAGGTCTTTCTCACTGGGAGGGATAGACCTGATGAGTGCTTAACTATTGAGCCACCAGGGCACCTTTTGAAACTACTTAAATTGATAATAAAAATGTAAGATGCCAACTCAATTACGTGTAAGTGGGTACAGAATTTCAATAATACTTTTTAAAGAATATCCGCTCCCCCTGCGCTCCCCCCAAAAAACACATTTGCAGGCCACTGGCCTAGGCAAGTCTAATGCAGTCCAAGGTTTGAGAGCCACAGCTCTGCTGCACATCTCAGGCCCAACCTCCCCCAGGCATCTCCCTCACCTCCATGATGCAGGCCAGCTGCTCCACTTCATTCTCTCCAGGAAACAGCGGATAGCCCATGTACAACTCTGCCATGATGCATCCTAGACTCCACATATCAATGGCCATATTGTAGGAATGACCCAGAATCACCTCTGGGGATCTGTAGAACCGACTTTGGATGTAGGTATATACTGCAGAGCAGGGAAAGAGAGAAATCTCTCATGGGAAACCTCCTCCTTCCCCAGAGCATCCTTCTCCAGCTCCTATGAATGCTTCCAGGAGAAGGATGATGGTAGATGATAATCAAGGCTCCCAAACACTTTCTCACCCTACTGCCTTGGCAGGGAGATGGTTGTCCAACCCACCAACAGTTAAGAGTCACACTATGCATTTAATCTCATCAAATTCTTACAGCAACCTGAGATTATGGAGGTGTTAATTGTCCCCATTTTATTGATAAATAGCTCCAGAGTAGATCTTGTTTAGAGAAGCAAAGTGAAGTCCACCAGGGTCACAATAATAATAATAATTTAAGAAGTAGAATTAATATAAAACCAAGTTTTGAATAAACTCATCTGAGAATAATGTGATTTTCAGCTTGGCCAGAAGAGGCATGTCAGAATCTGGGAGGAAGAAGTATGTGTTATTTGAAAATGTGTATTCAATATATTATGTGTACTGTGTTGTGTTAAGTGTTGATAAATAACAGATGATTAATTTTATATTCAGAGAAGATTATATGACTGATGTTCAGAGCTACTTTCTGGATTCTGAAGAAAGCATGAAGACTAGGGCAATTAGGGAAATTCACTATGTTTAGAGTGGTTATGCTTTCTAAAATGTAGGTTCTTGAAATTCTGATTTGGTATATCAGGAGTAAGTACTAGAAAGAGTAATTTTTCAGTCTTCAAGTGATTCTGAAGCATATCAGTTTTGAGACTCAACACTCTTAGGGAGTTCCATTTATGCACAGAATATGAGAGCTCAAAGGATCCTTAAGATCTTTTAATCCAATCTCATTTTATAGATGAGAAAACTGAGAATCAGAGAGGTGAAACACCTTATTCAAAATCCTACTGGCAATTTTTATGACTGAACCCAGACTAGAACATAGATAATCTGATGTGAGAAGTATTTGTTTCAGTAAGAGAGAGAAATCCAATAGTACAATTCAGACAAAGGGACTGAACTGGGACCTACTGCTGGGGGCCAATGAGGGTAGAGGACAGCTTCGATTTGCTGCTTGACACAGTTCCGGTAAATTGTGGAGTGGTCTGGCAAAACAGATAGCTCTCAGAAGTTGCTTTCTACCTTCTCTAGAGAGTAATCTTAATTTTACTTATAAAAATATATAATTTGGCAATATTCACAGCTTTTCACTATGAGTTCTACAAACCTTAAGAAAAACTAGTTTAGCAGCAATTGCTTTCAGCCTTGGTGGATTGAATACAAAGAGAAATTGTGTAAATTACTCCTTTTCATTAGAAACCTAAGTAACTGCATTTGTGAGGCCACAAAAGCAAATAGCATATTAGAGTCAAGCTAACCTACCCCCATAGGCCTCACCACATTCAGTCACTAGCTAGAATTCTCAAACCCCTACATACAAACACCTGCGTAAATAAGCTGACAATAATGAACTTAAGTGAAGGATAGTTTTGACTTAATAATCTACACTTCTTGCAGCAAGTAGCCAGGTTGGGCTTTATGCCACATAGCTTCCAAGTGATTTAATGAATACCTTTACTATAAAAATAATAGCACATTATGTAGGATAGAAAGTTTATAATCTTTTAGTAGAAACAAGAAGAAACAATTTTATCTCATACAGGAAAAGAACATCACAGAAGTATTTCTGTCAAGGTTGTCTAAGGACTAGGTGCAAGAATGTTGTGATAAAAGTGTCAATGCATGTACTGTGTAGTTTTAAGTATAAAAAATAAAGACTTGCTGATCTGGGCTGGCAGAGCTAGGAGAAAGAAGTAGAGGGCAGAAAGAAGAAGAAGCAGAAGGGAGAAGGAGGGAGGCAGAAAGAGGAAGGAAGAAGCAGCAGAAGAAGCAGAGAGTAGGATGGAGAAGGCAGAGGGCAGACAGCAGAGAGAACAGACAGCAAAGAGCAGAAAGCAGAAGCAGGGGCAGAAGCTGGAGAACATAGCCGGACAGCACTACGAGTTGAAAAGCCTTTCGATTGTATTCATTCATTTCTTCACCCTACGATTCCGCGTATTCGCTCGTGTCCCATGACCCCCGCAGAGAGCTGGAACCGCAACCTACCTTTTTGGTGTTCATAACAGCTGGATCCAAAGTCAATGACTTTAACTGAGACTTGGCCCTTTTGATATAGCACTATATTCTCCTAGAGAGAACAAGACAGGTCTTAATCATGTTTTCCCAGTTCTTGCCTATTTACCTAAATGCTCACTGGCCCTCAAGACCTAATTCATTCAACATGCTACCACTTCCAGATGGCCTTTTTCCACAAAGTCTCCAATCCCATCACCCCTGACTTCCTCTGACTTTGTATTCCACTTTTGGTCTGTTGCTCTTGTTTGGACCCAGTATTCACCACTTTGTACAATTTCTTTTACATATATTTAGCCTCTTTCCCCATATAAATTATAACTTCTAAAAGCTGTAGGCTTATTTTTATCTTCCTGGGCATTTAGTTCCATGTCTTGCTAGCATACAGCCTTAGAAATGCCACTGAATAAATTTTTTTTTTTTATGTTTCATTAAGTGCCCCTGTTGATATATTGCTAAGACAATAAGAAGTCAAAACAAAAAAATGAAAAACAATTTGATTGGAGTATGGAGTCAGCAAAGTATGCTGACTTTGGGGGAAATGTGGCAGTATTCAGAATCTGAGTATTTAGATGTTTCAGTAGAAACCAGAGAAGCCAGAGACCGAGTTCTCCTTTCAGAGTCTAAGAATCTGTTAGCAAGATTTCAGTTGAGCTTCCAGACTAAGCCAGACTAGGAAGAAGGAGAGGAGGTCTACTTCTGAATGTATAGTCCCTGAAAACCTTACACATAGCAGCAGGACACTGTCAGATATAGTTCTAGAAGATGCGCCCCTCAGGTTGGAAGGTACTTAAAACACAACTAAAGAAGAACTGCCTCCTCAAAGGAGAGTTGACCATGATGATACAAATGGAGTAAAGTTCTCAAGACCTTCATCTTCTGATGGGACACAACTCAAAATAAGAAGAAACAGCTGTAAACATCCATTATTCAATGGTCTCAATATCAGATGCCACCACTGGTCTGTCAGTCTGTGATACTGTGGTGGCTTGCATGTTATTGTGACACTGGAAGCTATGCCACCTGTATTTTAAATACCAGCAGGGTCACCCATGGTGGACAGGTATTCAGCTGAGCTTCCAGAACAAGACAGCCTTGGAAGAAGGAGAGGGGGTAATACTACTGAGTATTTAGTCACTGAAAACTTATGATTAGAAGTGAAACATTGTCAGATCTAGTACCAGAAGATGAGCCCTTCAGGTTGGAAGGCACTCAAAATACTACTGAAGAAGAGCTGCCTCCTCAAAGTAGATTGAAAATTTTAGGACTTTCATTTGCTGATGGAGTATAATTCAAAATGAGGAGAAACAGTTGTAAACATCCATTAATAATCAGAACATGGAACACACAAAGTACAAATCTAGAAAAATTTTAAGTTGTCAAAAATTACATGGAATGCATAAAGCCTTTTAAGTTGTCAAAAAATGAAATGCTATGCATAAAGGCTAGACATCAGTGAGCTGAAATGGACTGGTAGTGGCCATTCTGAATCTGACAATCATATGGTATACTATGCCTGGAATGAAAAATTTAAGAGAAATGGTGTCATGTTCATCATAGAAAAAAGAAGAAACTCAAGATCTATCTTAAAGTACAATGTTGTCTACAATAGGATAATATATCCATATGCCTACAAGGAAGACCAGTTAATACCACAATTATATAAACTTATGCATCAACCACTGAAGCCAATGATGAACAATTCTACCAGGTTCTTCAGTCTGAAATTGATCAAACATGCAATCAGGATGTACTGATAACTACTGGTGACTGGAAAGCAAATATTGGAAACAAAGAGGAAAAATCAATAGCTGGAAAACATAGCCTTGGTGATCGAAATGATGCTAGAGATAGCATGATAGAATTTTGCAAGACCAATGATGCATTCATTGCATATTCATTTTTTAAAATAGCATAAAAGATGACTATATACATGGACCTCACCAGATGGAATATACAGAAATGAAATCAACTACATACATCTGTGGGAAGACACAGTGGAAAAACTCAATATTATTAGCTAAAACAATACCAGGAGTAAACTATGGAACAGAACTTGGGCATATGCAAGTTTAGGTTGAAGCTGGAGAAAATTACAAGAGAGTCATATATGGCTTTGAACATATCCCACCTGAATTTATAGATGACCTCAAGAACAGATTTGATGCTTTAGACACTGATGACTGAACATCAGAAGATTGTGGGACAACATCAAGAACATCATACAGAATAGCAGAAATATCACCATAGAAAACTTGTAAGTCTGCCTTCTGCCTATAACTGATTGGAATATCTAAAATGGGGCTACAACTTGCCCAGTGAAGGAGGCTTCCTGCAGAGCCTTTGCATTGCATAAGACCATAGGTGGAATCCTGAACCCCATCCAGAATCTGCTGAGGTGGGAAATCTCCACTTCAAAGGACAAGCAGACCAGCCTGGAATGGCTAGAAGAACAGAATACACTTCTTGAAAGAAAGACCAAAAGGAAAAATAAAAAACAGTAACAGTAGTCTGACTGACTACTACAAGAACAAGCAAGTTGCTTGCCTAGGAGACATCAAGGCAAGCATTCGGGTCCCCACAGGGCAAACCCCCTTCCAAGACTAAGACTCAAGGGTAAAACATGAGCAGGCATGGGATCTGACTGGTGACCACGGTGGTCACCAATAAGGGGAAGTGAAGGAAAAACAGCAATGAAGCTGCAAGCTAAGTCCAACCACGTTCAAATCTCCTGTGAACCCAGGTAGAGATCTGGTTGGCCAGCAGTATGACAAGACCTGGGGACTCCTGGGCCCAGAGGCAGTAACATAGTCACAGAAGCCTAGAGTGGAGAGTGAAGTGTCCAGCTGATAAGAAGTGAGGGGATATGCAAAAGAACCATCACACTTGCAGATAATACCCACTTGACCTGGCTTCAATGACTGGATGATCAGAACTCAACTAGAAGAGGGAAAAAAAGAGTAATCTGATACAATTTGATGAACTTGACCTACACCTATGGATGCAGTAGCTCAAAAGAGGGAACAAATCTTTAGAGTGAGGATCATTCCCACCTCTTCCATACACAAAGTAGACAGGGATGGGCAACTTGGACATTGGCTACCCAAAATGCAGGGGGCGGGGGGCGGGGGTAGCTACAAAGGCAAGAAGTGACTGACTTACAAACTTTCAAGAGGGAGTCTAGATCCAGAGGGCATGGAGGAAGGTAGAGTCTCCACTGAGTAGTATCTAATCTGTTGAGTGGGGCTGATGAAAGGAAATAAGGATAGGGCTCATGTGGCACAATAGTGAATAATTGTTATCAGGACTGACTGTAAGGGTTGGAAATGTAAAGGTAGACATTTTGTAGCAAAAGGAGGGGAGTGGTTGACTTTGCAGTCCAGGAGTGGAGGTCCCTGGGACCATCAAGGGAGAAGAGCGGAGTGCGGGACCCTACCCAGAGAAACACTGATGCCAGAGATGGAGGTAGAGATGATGACATGGAGAGATGGAGTGGCTGGGGACTCTAGACCCAGAGATGGTGAGGGGATGTGTTCTGAGGACCAAGGGCCAAGCTTGTAGTGTATACCCTTTGATTGTTTGATGATGCATGGAAGGGGTTGTAACCATGGCAATGAAACGATATACAATAAGATGAATGTAAAGCTAATGTTCTCCCATGTAAACTATCACATAACTCACAATAAAACCTTTAAAAAAATTAAGTAAAATAAAGAACATCATACAGGAAGAAATAAAAGGATAAATTCAGACTTGCAGGAATTTTCATTACAAATCTTGATGTTCAAAACACAGCCCCCTGCCCTTCACCCATTCCCAGATCTTCTATAGGGAAGCCCTAGGATCTTTTTTCCTATTTTCCTCAATTATACCAATTGTCTCTGTCTTCCCTTTTCCAGTATCTGTGCCTTAGGGGAATGGAATAAGACAAGTAGTTCTTGAGGATGGAGACTAGTCCCCATAGGAGGACTAAGATGATACTCACTGGCTTGAGGTCACAGTGAATGATTTTCTCTACATAAAGCATTTGTAAACACTTCAAAACAGAGAGGGTAAAGCGCCGAACTATTGACAAACTGAAGCCTTGAAAACTATTATTCTTCATCAGCTCATACAAGTTGATTCTGGGAAAGAGAGAGAAAGTGATGTGCATCAGTGTAAAAATATAATGCTGAGTTTGAACTCAAAAACAACCCCATATAACCTCATTCCCTCTGCTAGCAGGTATGCCTGAGACCAGGAGGCAGAGCTATAGTGTCCAATAAGTTCAACATTCCCTGTGATTTATGGTGGACCCAAAGTGAAACTTATCTGTGCTGGCCTCTCAGATGTCCCCTGATTTCTTATGTGAAATGAGTGTTAAGACTTTGGACCAAACTTCTGAAATGCTGTATTCATACTTCTTCAGATCCTTTGAAAGTATCCCCAAAGCCTACATCTTTACATTAAATTTGTACTAAAACTACAAATTACTTGTTACTAAGCCTCCACTCCTATCTATATCTGATAGAAAGATAGATGTGTAGAGAGATGGATGGATGGGTTCCTGGATGGATAGAATAGGATAGGGAAGCTTGGTAGAAAGGTAAATATATAGAAGCCTTTGAGTCTATTCAGACTCATAGCAACCTTATGTACAGCAGGATACAATGTCCAGTTTTTTGTCATCATCATGACCACCAGCATGTTTGAGTTCATGTGTTTATTGTTTCAATTGATTTCACTGAGAGTTTTCTTCACACCTGCTAATCCTCTACTTGCCAAACACGAAGAGATGTCTTAAAGAGATCAACTTGCTGACAAGAGAGTGGGCAGATGGGGGCTGAGGTCCAGTAGAGAACCCCTAAACCACAAGTTTGGTGGTTCAATCTCACCAGACACTCCTCAGAAACCCTATACAGGGTCTCTGTGAGTCGGAACTTACTTCTAAGAACCTAACAACAACAATAACAACCCACTTAAGTGGAGTTCTGGTGTGGTGCTGTAGGATAAACACTGGGCAACAAGGTCAGTTTGAACTGCAAGGTGGGTGATTCAGATTTACCAGCCGCTCCTTGGAAACCATACACAGGGTCCCTATACATTAGAACCGACTCCATGGCACTTAATAACAACCAATTTAAAATAAACCTGGCTGCTTTGTCCGAGTTAACTAACACCTTGCAGGAATGAGGACTCACTCTTGCCAGATCATCCTGTATTTACAGTCAGAGAGTCTTTTCTATTATATGAAATCTATTGACTTACAAATGTTGGAAAGCAACACAAAGTATGTTTAAATGCTGTGCCATGTCTATAGGCTGCTAGTTTGCAATCTCTGTGAAAACTAAATGAGGAGAGGAGGGGGAAAGCAGTCATCACCGTGAAATCACTCTGCATCAATCTTTCAGGTTTCTCTTCATTTTCTATTTCTGAAGCCTTCTATGGCAGTATCTAGGAGGCCACTCATTCCTAAGAGGCACCATGGAGACATTAGGGACTTGGTGTGACCCTAGGCAATGACCCAATTTCTCTGAGGTTTGAATTCTCGCTCCACACAACTGAAGACATACACTTGCCTCTCCTGCCCTCTCAGAGCATCCTAATTGGGCTTTGTGATCAATAGCCAAAAAAAGGCAGCCTGGGTGACCTGCTTGGCTGCAGGGAGGACAGTCCACCTCTGCATATTGGAGAATGGACCATATTTACAACCATCAGAGATGGTGAGGAGAGGAGAAGTTAGCTGGTTCCCTGATCTCACCATCTGCAGCAGTGTCATGGGAGCACTGAGCTGGCAGGTCAGTAAATCCAACAGCCCCCAGGCGCCTGAGAGTTCATTCTTGATCCTTCTCCTTAGCTAAATGCACTCAGTTTGGAGCTTTCACTTAAACTGCATCTGACTGTCTCCTTAGAGGAAAACACAATCCAATTAGCAAACCCTTTCAATGAGCACATCCCTTCAGTTCTAAAATTCCATCAGGTAATTTCCATCTCTTTAAGTCAGATTCTGATCTCTTACCAAACAAAGTATCTGCCCTGGTCCTAGTTTGTTCAAAACCAAAGCCTTTCCCACTCTGAGCAGCCAGCTGCCTGCTACCGTGAGTGCCAATCTCTGCACCCAAGAAAAGTTGAGAAGCCAATGAATGGGGCATGGTAGCAAATAAACGTCCTTTTTAAAACCTATCTCATATTACGTTGGCAGACAGTCTTGAGGACAGACCTAGTTTGGATCACTCAGGGTAGTGCCCAGTACCTATGCTGTACCTCACATTCAGAAAAAAATTAGTGTTCAAAGTTTATCTTCTGTCACTTAAGTCCATTTTCAAATGAAAATTAAAAAGTGAAAGCAGCTAACCCCAGGAGTTCAAAGGTGATACAGAGGTGATTGCGGAAGTAGAAAAAGTCCTTCATGTGTACCACATTGTAGGTATTGTCTTTGTCTTTTCTTCTGAGAGCTTCCAGGATCTTCAGTTCCACTAGGGCCTGGTGATGAAACCTGAGGTAATTGGACATGGCAGGGAAGATGAAGAAGAGGGACAGAAAACACAGATGTCAAATCATGCTGCAACAGTAAGACCATTTATTCACCCCCTCCCTGTGATTCCAACAAGAACTGCCTGAACTTGCAGAAAATTCTAGAAGTGCTATGCCTTGTTTCTTTTGCCCCATCTCAGAGTCATTTAGCTAGAAAGAGGAAATGGAAGACAAAGGTAAAAAAATTTAAAAAGAGGCCGAGTTATGAAGAAATGGCATTTCAAAGGGACAAGAATCACGCAGGCCGTGTCCTAAGCCATACCTCTTCTTGTTCCTGATGATTTTCAGGGCCACCAACTCATTGTTTTTGTGGTCCAGACACTTGGCCACCTGTCCAAAGGACCCTTTCCCAATCATCTCCAGAACTTCGTAGCGGTAGGCAATGTGATCATGCAGGACCTGCAGAAGCCAGGACAAGAATGGAGAGCAGAACTGTGTGCTCTGGAGCTGCCCAGCCACTGGGGTTCCTGGACACCATCCCAACTGAGGCTCACTCCTAGGAGGAAGTGTCTGAGCTGCAGTGGGCACAGGAGTGATTTCTACCCTTTTCTCAACACTACCACTATGGTTAGATTGGTGCCCTGATACCAGATCACCTGATATTGCATGTGGTGCCAGGGCAATTCCCATAAACTCTGCCACATCTCAATCAATGCAAAGAACATTGGATGGTCTTTGGGAAAATCAGGTCTACCACCAGCTCTAGTTTCCTGTATGTGTTGGAATCTGTTAAGTAAAAGTAGCCTTGAAGATTCCTTCTAGTTTAGGTATTCCATGACTCTTGAGCAATTTAGTTAACAACTGTAGTTTGGAGCAAGTTTCACTTGTGACCCCAATATGTCCCCATAGAAAGTATTCCCCTTTCTGGCCAGATTTGATTCTCATTTTGACTTATCCAGATTTAATCCTATCCTGGTGTTAGCAGTACAGACTTAGGCTTTCCTCGTCTGCTGGTGGTTCTGTGCTGTGGAGTCGGTTCCGACTCATACTGACCCTGTACAGGGTTTCCGAGGCTGTAAATCTTTATGGAGCAGAAAGCCTCATCTTTCTCCCGTGGAACAGCTGGTAGTTTCAAACTACTGACCTCAGGTTAACAGTCTGATTCGTAACCACTACACTACCAGAGTTCCTTTTCCTCATCTAAGAAGAGAAATATTTTCCAAGAGCAGAAATGCCCTCATCCCTCCTGGTGCTGGAAACCAAGGTGCAGGTGTTTAGGCAATGCCATGGAAGTTTTAGGTTTAAAAACATCCTTATCTGGGTGGTCTAAGTCAAACTACTTTCCCATTCTGAGCTGCAGAACTCTTTCATCTGTAAAGGAGGGATCTGAATAAGAGTTCCCTAACAAAACTCTTCACAGCTGTATCAATAAATAATATCATGATAAATGGAGAAAAGATTGAAGTTATAAGTTATTTCATTTAACTTGGGTCCACATTCAATACTCATGAAAGCAGCAGTCAAGAAATCAGAAGACATTTTGCCCTGGGAAAATATACCACAAAAGACTTTAGTATTAAATGTCAGGTTCACCTGACTCAAGCCATAATATTTCCAATCACCTCATAAAGCCACGATATTTCCAATCGCCTCATATGCATGGGAAAACTGGACAATGAAAAAGGAAGACCAAAGAAGAATCGGTGCATTTGAAGTATAGTGTGGGCAAGGAATATTGAAAGTACCATGGACTGCCAAAAGAACAAACAAATCTGTCTTGGAAGAAGTGCACCCAGAATGTTTCTTAGACATGAGGATGGTGTGATTTCATCTCACATATTTTGGATGTGTTATCAGGAGGGAGCATTCCCTCCAGAAAGACATCATCCTTGATAAAATAAAGAATAAGCGAAAAAGAGGAAGTGCCCCAATGGGATGGATTGACACAGTGGCAGCAACAGTGAAGATAGCACAGGACTGGTAACATTTAATTCTGTTGTGCGTGGGGTTGCTATGAGTTGGCACCTAATAACAACAGCAAAAGGTCTGCCAGCTCTATAAATCTCTAATCCCTAGAGTGACACTCATCAGTTTGGGAGAGGTGAGGATAAGTATTTGTGTACAAGTCCTCAGGATGTGTTTGTGGTTGTATGGTGGGAGTCTGTATATATTCATCAACTAGTGAAAATCAACAGAATGGAGAAAAGATGAGGAACAGGTTCCAGCACACCTGTTTTGAAAGTGCACGTGTTTTTCTCCAGGATTTGTATATACCTTCTACATACCACAAGCTTGAGTATATCATAATCATTTGCTCAACTTTGGCATTGATTGTGGTACTTGAGGGCAAGGGCTTACTCATTTTTGATAGTTGCCTGTGTATTTCCAGAGTCCAGCAGATGCCAAAGCACATGGTAGGTACTCAATAAATCTGTTGTTGTTGCTAGGTGTCATTGAGTCGGTACCCACTGATAGTGGTCCTTTGCACAACAGAATGAAACACTGCCCGGTCCTGGGCCAACCTCAGAATTATTGCTACATTTGAGCCCACTGATGCTGCCATTGTGCCAATCCATATCATTGGTGGTCTTCTCTTTTTCTCCAACCCTCTACTTTACCAAACATGATATCCTTCTGCAGAGACTGGTCCCTCCTAACAATATATCCACCAAAGTATGAAAGACGAAGTGTGGCCATCCTGGCTTCCATGGAGCACTCTGGCTGTACTTCCTTCAACACAGATCTACTTGTTCTATTAGCAGTCTCCTCCAACATCATAACTCAATAAATAGGTACTGAGTTAATAATATCTGCTGACAGACTGCAGCTGTGTTGTTTATTTAAGTTTTAGGGTATGCGCACTGTTTATCATATGTGCATTGGAATCTAATAAGGATCGAGACTCCAGGCTTCAGATAGTACATATTATCCACCAGCCTCCACCAAAGACACTGCTATCAAGGACATTTGAGACTGGGGGTATTGAGTCCCAGGAATTAGGTTAAAGGTAGTGCTTTAGGGAATTTCCCTGGGAGTCTAGGCACAGGTGAGGTGGGGCTGGGGAACTGAGGATGTCTGGCTGAATTGGAGGTAAAATTTTGTTGAGGATACTTAACCAAGGACCTGTTAACTTCCTGAAATTGTGTGTATGTTCAGGATGTCTTTTCTGGAACAAGGACCTATAGATCTTATCAGACTCCCAGATGGATCTTTGACCTAAAAATGGTGGAGAACTAGGACTGTCACTGGAGACCGTGCACCAAAAAACTCTAAATGCCTGCTTCTCAAACTGTGCATCACCTAGGAACTTGTTAGAAATACAGCATCTTGAAACGCACCCTAGAGCCACTGGGTAAGATCTGGCATGTTATCAAGATCCCCAGGAGATTTCTGTGTTCAGTGAAAGTTGAGAAACACAGTCCTAAGTGTTAAGAGAATCCTCCTCTTCTATGAAGCCATTAAAGACCTATTCTACCATGTAAGAAGCCAATGAAGTTATAAGGAAATGTCCAGAGGAGGAAACTGTGGACAGCCCACAAGCCCAGTAGACGAAGCATTATATATAATCAGGAGGTCATCACAAGTGTTCCTGAAGTAAAAGAGCCACGAGACCACTCCCTGAAGAAGGACATCATGCTCCATACTAGTGGTTGTTAAGTGCCATTGAGTCGGTTCCAAATCAAATCGACCCTGCATAGGGTTTCCAAGGAGCAGCTGGTGGGTTTGAACTGCTGACTTTATGGTTCAAACTGACCTTGTGATCCAGTGCTTATCCTACAATGCTACACCAGGACTATGTAATGTTGTTCTTGTTAAGTGCTGTCAAGTTGGTTCTGACCCATAACAACCCTGTATAGGGTTTCTGAGGAACAGCTGGTGAATTTGTACCACTGATCGTGCAGTCCAAACCAACTTTGCAGTCCAGAGCATTAACCCACAGCGCCACACGGGGACTCTGGACTATGTAATGGGTCAATGAAAAGGAGGAAAACCCTTAATGAGACGGATCAACACAGTGGCTACAACCATGGGCTCAAATATGGCAACAATTGTGAGGACGGCACAGGACCAGGCAGTGGTTTGTTCTATTGTACATGGGGTCATTGTGAGTTGGAATCAACTCCATGGCACCTAGGAACAATCATTGTTCAGATTTCTCCTTCAGGCTTGGAAGAAGTATGATCCTAGGGAACCCCTGATGTGCAGTCAGAAAGAGAAGAGGAGGAGTCACTGGGGTCAATGTTTAGGAAACTGAAAGTAGTCAAGGGACTACAGTGAAAAAAACTTGTTTAATGTGTGGGAAAATATCTATTCTAAAATAGAGATGGTACCATCCATGAGCTTGTTTGCAGGAGACAAAAAAATAAAATAAAGCAAAGGAAGCCCTGGGGAAACTACACCTGATTTAGCAGTCCAACTTTTTCCAATGATGTGTGGGAGGAGAGTCTGTAGGAATTCACCCAACATGCAAACCTGTTACCCCCAAATACTCTCAGAGAAAATTCGTGTTCTGTTAGCAGAATCTTTTGCACAGTAAGTGAATGTTTTACTGTTTTTAAACAGTCTTTCTTTAGTTTAGCACCTACTAGAATCCCTCAGGACTCCTAGCCCCACTTATATCAGCATCAAATGCTATAAAATACCCCTCCACCTCTTTCCTTCCTCAACTATCTCTTGACCCCAAGTCACAAGGCCCCTGCGGTTACCATGGACCACTTTCCCATCACCTTCTTATAGGAGCCATGTTCATCATCAAAACACGTCTTGCTGAATTTCTCTGGAGTCATTTTGAGCTTTTCAGCTTCGAGCCCCAGGAACCATAGTTCTGTGTAGCCCAGGATTTCACTGTGCTCATATGGAGACAACTTGTTCTTAAAAGACCTTAGAGCCTCTGTGTAAAAAACATTGCAGATGTCAGTTAACTGAAGGTAGCACAGGGATTTTCCCGGGGTGCAGATGATGGCATCCCTTCTAGTTCTTGAGTCAGTCAGCCTCTTTCTCAACCAGGTGATTCAACAAGGACCAGGCATTTTGAAGCTCATGGGAAGAAAATTTAAAAAGGATAATTTTAAAGTCTTGTATTTGATTTCAACAAATTAGGAAGAAAACACAAAAGGGAAGTTAAAATATTGAGTCCTCCTCAGAGTTCCAGTTATAGTAGCATGGATTAAAAAATAGTCAAAAGTAAACTCAGTGTCAACAATAGTGTGTAGGTAAGGTGGGGTTTATCTCAGGAGTTTATCCTGAGAGAGTTTGCAAACTCTGATGACTTCAGAGATCAGGCTGACTTTAAAGGCTCAGTAGGTCTGCAGTTGAGCCAGTGACTATCGGAGATGATCAAGAAGGAATGTGGGTCGGTACTTCTCTATTCCATACTTAACACACACAGTATTAAGTAGATGGTGTGGCACTGTAGGATCAACACTGGACTTCAAATCACAAAGTCAGCAGTTCAAACCCACTAGCTGCTCCTCAGAAACCCTATTCGGGTCGCTATGAGCTGAACAACAACATTCTATACTGACCCAATCAAATCAAGAGTCTGGTCCTTTTGGTCTGGAAGACATAGGGTGAGACTGACACTTTCATAGACATAAAGAAATTTATATTTACTACGGATTGAACTGTGTCCCCCAAAAGTTATATTGCAGTGATCTTATTAGGAAATAGGTGTATCTTTTGTTGAGCTAATGGGGTCATATAACCTTCTGAGTGATGTGTTATAAAAAGAGAATAGTCACAGACACACAAAGGGACACTATGTGACAACAGAGACAGATGCACCAACTAGCTGCAAAGGAATGCAGAGGATTGGCAACAGTCACCAGAAGCTAGGAGCGAGACCCACAGAAGGAATTGCATTGGTCAAGTCCTTGATTTGGACCTTAGCTTCCAAAACTGTGAGAAAATACATTTCTGTTTTTTAAAGTCACCCACTGGTGATATCTTTTGTTATGGCAGTCCTAGGTAACCAAGACAATGCTGTGTAGAATGTTCAGAGGAAAGGAACCAGGATTGAAGGTGGACTGGACCATGTGATTTGACAAACTGCTAAAGAGTTGAAGAAGGGACTGCCAGGAGATAAAAAAGATTTCTGGGAAGCATGATATCTGTCTTCAAATATGTGAACAGCAGGTGTGTATACGTTGGGTACAATGTGCTCTTAGATCAAGGGTCTAAAGATAATGTTGTTGTTGTAAGGTGCCATTGTGTTGATTCCAACTCTTTGCAACCCAATGCAACAGAGTAGAACCACCCCATAAGGCTGTCATTTTTTAAAACTACTTATTGTAAATTGATTAAGGTGTACAGAGCAGATCATCAATTTTCCGTTCAGCAAATCCTAGACTTTGTTTTACGTCAATTATTGCAATTTCCTCAATGTAACACCCCCTTCATCCTACTTCCTCCCTCCATTTCTCCTTTTTTCCCAATCCTTCTGCATTTTGTTCTTAGATAAACACTGCCCTTGTAATGGTTAACCATTCTATGGCATGCATATCTCACTATTGTTGTCTACTGCTTGGCTGAAAATTGAGCAAGGAAGATGAGTTCAGGTCCACACAAGAAGAGTGCCCAAGGCCCATAGTCTCGGGGTTCTTTCAGTCTCTGTCTGGCCAATAAGCCTGATATTTTGTGTCATTTTAAGTTTCGTTCCACATTTTCTCCCATTCTACTCACAACCTTCTAATGTGATCCCATTTAAAGCAATTGGTAGTGGTTGTAATCCTTACAGAAGCAGATCACCAGAACTTTCTTCCACAGAGCCACCCCTTCAGTTAGCAGCTGAGTGCTTGACTACTGTGTCACCAGAGCTCCTTCTAAAGATAGTTGTTGTTAAGTGCTGTCAAGTTGGTTTTGACTCATAGTGACCCTGTATAGGGTTTCCAAGGAGCAGCTGGTGGGTTTGAACCGCCAACTTTGTGGTTAGCAGCCCAGCGCTTCTAAAGCGCCACACCAGAACTCCTCTAAAGATAATTTGTTGTTGTTGTTAAGTGCCGTCGAGTCGGTTCCGACCCATAGCGACCCTGTACAGGGTTTCCGAGGGTGTAAATCTTTACGGGAGTAGAAAGCCTCATCTTTCTCCCGCGGAGCGGCTGGTAGTTTCGAACTGCTGACCTTAAGGTTCACAGCCCGATTCGTAACCACTACGCTGGGAGGCAGATATCAGCTCTGAACAAAGCAGAATTTGCTCAGAACTGAATGAATCTCCTCATGGGCAGTTACTAAGATAGTTTAAGAAGGGGAGAGACAACCAAAGGCAAAGCTACAGTTAGAAATGTTCTGAGAACTGAAATTTAATAAACTATAAGTCTGTGAACCCCAACCATCCATACCCATTGCCATCAACTCAATTACTGCTCCAAAGCCATACCTGCTGGTGTCAGAGGCAACTTTTGTTTCCTTGCTGGTTTCTCCATGGGCTTGGGATCTTGGGTTTTAATGCTACAGTGGAAAGGCAATTCTGAAGTCTTGAGCTCAGAGGCTGATACCTGACTGTGAGTTTGGGTCTCCTGTCCAGGGAAAGAGGTTTATAATAAAAGACTATAATAAGCTTCCAGGGTCATAAACCATTTTTATGACCACAAGCACCCACATTTAGCCAAGTTCTTTCCCTTTTCCTTTCTCGGGAGAAAACAGTAATTACGAGGCAATGGATTTTCTTAATCTTTCTCCCATAGGAAGTATGTAACTGATGGCCCCACTCCTCTCTGGGAGACACATGTCAATTACAATATTGAGTTGGCAACCCAATGCCATCTTATTGTAGACAGAGGCAGTCATGGTTTCTTTCTTACTCTTTCTTTCTGTTCTTGAGAAGGCCAATGCCCACCTCCATAAAGTGACTTGCCAAGGACACAGAAACTTGAACTCATGTATGTAAATATTTCTTTTGGTTTTTTTGGTTCCCCACTTAATATCTCATTTGGTCCTCATACCAAAAGGTAGGGAACATGGAAGGAGAACAAACACTGTGTATGTGTCCACTATTTATGTTTTAAACACTTCATCTCTCCCTTTCTCAATGAATCAAGACAACCCAATAAAGAGCCCATTTTGCAGAAAAAGAAATCAAGGCTACGAGGCCAATGACTTATTTGCTCAAGTTTTCACTCAATGTGAAGAATAACAAGAGGACTAGAATCCAGCTCTTTAGCTGATGCTGTGCTTTCCCCATTAACCTGGACTGCCTCTCTCAAAGTGGTTCTAGACTGGAATGAGGACTTTTCACAGCCCCATACTCACCTGATGATGAAGGGATGATTTCAGCAGAACTTTACTGTTGATGTGTGGGAAGTTTACCACCATGTTCTTCTTTCCCTTGATGTCCACAAAAGGCAGTGAAGTAATGTTGGTGTTTGTGTTCTATAGAAGGAGAAATTGGATACATTACAGAAACCTCAGGCCAGAAGATATCTTCAGGGGGTCATTTCTTCTAGCCCCTTCTCCACAACAAAGATAAGACTGACTCAAATCCAGACATGAACCTATTCTAAAAGTTCTTGGAGAAAAATTCAGATTCTAAAGCAGTAGTTGGGCTCTGGATGAGAATCCACTTACTAACTGTGGACCTTACACAAGTCACCTAGCCTCTCTCTTTACACCTCAGTTACCCCGGTGTGGTACTGTGGGTTCATGCACTGTACTGCAAAGTCATTTGAACTGCAAGGTTGGTGGTTCAAGCTCACCAGCTGCTCCTTGGAAACCCTATACAGGGTCACTATGGGTCGGAATGGATTCAACAGCGCTTAGCAACAACAACAAAACCATAAAGACAAAGCTGGGACCACCTCAAAGGGCTTTTGTGAGGCAAATGACTTAGAGTATTCCACAAATGTTAGTCATTATACCATCATTTCAATGTCTTACCATGCTAACATGAGGAAGGCCTTCCTGTCACATATAAGCCTTCCATGTTGTAACAGAAACTCTCATTCCGCTGCATTGTCTTCAACTACCCATTTAGATCAAAGTCTTTAGGTATTTGTTTTGGTGAAGGGGAGAGGTAGCATGATTGTCAATTAATAGTCACATTTAAAATTCTCTATAATGTGGATGAAGCTTATTATGTTGAGTTGACCAAAATTGCCTGCTAAAAGCTGCCCTGGTCACACGTCTTGCCTTCTTCCCTCCCCACCCCCCAATTCTCTCCTAGACAGAAGGCATTAAGTATCCTTTCCTACCTTATGCAAGAATCGGGTCATTCTGAGGTTCTTGGCCTTAGAAGGTGGCTTCTGGGCTTGAATCAAAGGTTTACTCTCAACCTGGATCAAGCGCAAGAGAATTGGGAGAAAGCTTGGCATGGCTTCACCCCAAGTCACAAGAAATTTATTTTATTTCAGTGTAATGAAGATACCCCTGAAGTCAGTTCTTTTGACCCCAAATCAACGAATAGCTAAGAAAATCTCAAAGAAATACTGAATGAATGCATGAATGAATGAAAACCAAATGAATTTTCCAGCAGTGTTAATTTTCAATAAAGTATAGTGTTGTTGTTAAGTATTGTAGAGTCGGTTTGATCCATAGAGACCCTATAAAGGGTTTCCAAGGCTGTAAATCTCTGAGGGAACAAAAAGTCTAATTTTTTTACCCATGGAGTGGCTGGTGAGTTTAAACCACCAGCCTTGTTTTTCCCAGACCAGTGCTTATCGTACAGAGCCATCTCACAACTAAATAATGTATTGTTGTTGTTAAGTGTCATTGAGTTGGTTCCAACTCTTCGTGACTCTCTATAGGGTTTCTGAGGAGCAGCTGGTAGGTTTGAATCCCTGACTTTGTGGCTAGCAGTCTAGTGCTTATCCTAGTTCCAAATAAAGTATTGTTGTTGCTACAGGCAGTCAAGTCACAGCCCTACCTGTGTAAGGTTGTTGATGAGCAGCTGGTGAGTCTGAACTGCCAACCTTGCAGTTAAAGCCAACTTTAAGATCAAGTACTTATCCTATAGTGCTACACCAGGACTCCAAATAAGGTATGTTGTTGTTGTTGTTGTTAGGTGCCATCGAGTTAGTACCAACTCATAGCGACCTTATGCGCAGCAGAATGAAACACTGCCCGATCCTGGGCCAACCTCACTACTGTCTGTTGCCACGCTTGAGTCCATCGATGCTGCCACTTGGCCAATCCATCTCGTTGGGGGTCTTCTTCTTTTTCTCTGGCCCTCTACCTTACCAAACATGATATCCTTCTCCAGCGACTGGTCCCTCCTGACAATATGTCCGAAGTATGAGAGATGAAGTTTGGCCATCTTGGCCTCCAAGGAGCACTCTGGCTGCACTTCTTCCAAAACAGATCTATTGGTTCTTTTGGCAGCCCATGGCATTTTCAATATTCTCCTCTAACACCATAACTCAAAAGCATCAATTCTTCTATGGTCTTCTTTATTCACTGTCCAGCTTTCACATGCATAAGGTATTGTTGTTGTTGATATTAGTTAATAATAGTGTATCAATATTGATTCATTAACCTAGTCCTTGTGTTGTGTGAGTAGCTGCTAACAGAAAGGTTGGTGGTTCAAATCTAAAAAGGCATGCCTTGGAGGAAAGGCCTAGAGTACTAATTCTGAAAAATCAGCCATTGAAATTCTTATGGTACTCAGTTCTTCTCTGAAACACATAGGGTCAAAATGAGTCTGAGCTGAGGTGTTTCTACATTACTAATAGAGAAAACTCAGAGTGGCATGTGGATATATGGAAACTACTCTCCGCTCAATTTTTCTGTAGATGTAAAATAGTTTTTTAAAAAGTAAAGCCTATACCCAAAGTGGGGGGAGGGATACAAAGGTAAGAAGTGACTGGCTTACAAGCTTTCAAGAGGGAACCTGGATCGACAGGGCGGGGAGGAGGGTGGAGTCTCAAGTGAGTAATATTCAACCTGTCTAGGAAGGGCTGATGAAAAGAAATGCGGATGGGTCTCTTGTGATGCAGGGATGAATAATTGTTATGAGGATGGATTGTGAGGACTGTAAAGGTAAAAGTGGATATTTTATAGCAAGAAGGGATGTGATTAACCTTTCAGTCTAGGAGCGAAGGCCCCTGGGACCATCACTGGAGAAGAACAGAGATCGGGACCCCACCCAGAGAAGCAGCGAGGCCTGAGATGGAGACAGAGAGGATGACATGAAGAGATGGCGTGGCTGAGGACTTGAGATCCAGGGAGGGAAGGGAGCTGTGCGATGAGGACTGTTGGGAGAGAGGGGGGGCCTGCGGGGTATAACCTTTGGTTGGGTGATGATGCATGGACGGGATGGTAACTATGGCAATGAAACGATGTATGATAGAATGAGTGTAAAGCTAATGTTCCCCCATGTAAACTATCACACAATAAAAGAAAAAAAGAAAAGGAAAAAAAAAAAAAAAGTAAAGCCTACCCAACAACAAAAAAAAGTCCGGTTCCAGATGTCTGTGCTGGTGAATTTTACCAAGCATTCAAAGAAAAGCTGACACCAATTTTACTGAAAATATTCCAAAATATAGAAAAGGATGGAAAACTTCCTAATACATTTTATGAAGCAAATATAAGCCTCATGCTTAAACCAGGCAAGGACATCACTAAAAAAGAAAATTAGAGACCAGTATCCCTCATGGGTCACTAGGGGTTGGAACCGACTCAATTGCACTCAACAACAAAAACAACATCCCTCATGAACACAGATGCAAAAATTCTCAACAAAACCCCAGCCAATAGAATTCAACAGCATATCAAACAAATAATACAGCATGATCAAGTGGGGTTCATATCAGGGATGCCAGAATGGTTCAATATTAGAAAAACAATCAACGTAATCTACCACATAAATTTATAAAAGGAAAAGAACTACATGATCATACCAATTGATACAAAAAAGACTTTGACAAAATCCAACAACCATTCTTTATTAAAAACAAAAAAACGCTCAACACAGTAGGAATTGAAGGGAAATTCCTCAACATAACAAACATACCAACATACATCCTAGTATGGCGCTGTGGGTTAATGCACTGGACTGTAAAGTCGGTTTGAACCACAAGGTTGATGGTTGAAGCTCACAGTTGCTCTTGGAAACTCTATACAGGGTCACTACAGGTCAAAACCAACTTGATGGCACTTAATAACAACATACAAAACCAACAGCCAACATCATTCTCAATGGAGAGAAAATGAAAGAAAGCATTACCTCTGTGAATAGGAACTAGACAAGGATGTCCTTTATCACCACTCCTGTTCAATATTGTGTTGGAAGTCTTAGCCAGAGTTATAAGGCAAGAAAGGAAAAGTAATGCATTAGACTGCAAGGTCAGTTTGAATCAGTTCAAACTCACCAGCCGCTCCTCAGAAACCCTATACAGAGTCACTATGAGCTAGAGCCAACTCAACAACACTTAGAAGCAACAAATTGGCAAAGAAGAAGTAAAATTCTCTCTATTTGCAGACTATATGATCTTATACATTGAAAATCCCAAAGATTCAATAAAAAAATAAAGACTACTAATAAACAAACGAAACTCCCTGGGGAAACTCCCTGCACACCTGGGGAGGAGGAACAGTGTCACAGGCCTGACTGTCCCTCATGGTACTGTATAAACTTATTCAACATGGCCCCAAAAGACAGAACCAAGCCAAAGCCTCCAGCTCAGAAGAGAGATTTTCTAAATCTTAGCACTGTCATAAAATAGAATGGGATCTTTGTGGGGTGGTAAATTCTGGCAGTATAGTAGATATGAATCAAGCTGCTAACCTCAAGGTCAGCAGTTCCAAACTACCAGCTGTTCTGTGGGAGAAAGGTGAGGCTTTCTGCTCCTGTAAAGATTTACAGCCTCGGAAACCTTATGCAGGGTCACTATAAGTCAGAACCAACTCCACCACCACCTCCACCAAGCTTCCATTAGGGAAGCACCAAGGCAAGCTGGATGAGGGTCTGTAGGAAATGTGCATGGAATGGGCGCTGGGTAAATTGTGACTCCCACAGTCCCATCTGTCATTAAGATTCAATCACATGCCTCTGAAAGCGTGTCTTAAATATGACATTGGTCCTCTTGGGAAAACAAACTGGGAGTCATTGCCCTAGGACAGTCTTTCTCATGCTTTGTCCCATCATGACACACACATAAAATCATAATATTTGTACAGTAACCTAGGCTAAAGAAAGAGGCAACTCACAGCAGATGCTCTGGGGCAGCTCAGTGCTCCAGCTGCCCCAGGCTTGACCAGGCCACTCCAAGAGCCCATGGCTTCTACATCTCTGCACACCATCCTCAGAGATTTATGAATTTGCTGATTGCTTGTTGCCTTCAGAAACTTCGCAAGAGACACATAACACTACATTCTACTACAGCATCCCCAAGAGGCAAGAAAAGGATGTTATCTCCCAGCCTCACAATGTGACAAAACTAAAATTTCCCTTAAGACGGAGAGTTTCATAGTCTGGGGGTTGAGGGAGAGGTTCTACCAGTATATCTCCATTCACGCCACCAGGGGAGTCCTTGACATAATGGTCCTTAGTTACCTTTTAGGATGGAAATTGAACTTACCCCTATGGCTCAACTTTCAGCCAATCAACAGGTCAATACGGTGAAGGATAAAACATCGGGGAAGTCTGCACTCCTCAGAATAATCAGTCATAGCAGATCAAAAGGGCAGCATTGACCAAGGAATAAAGCTCAGAAGTCAGAAAGGGAGAAGAAAGCAGTGCAAATGTAAAGAGTAAGCACAGAGAGAAAGCAGAAAGAGTGTCATTATGCTGTGGGGATTGCAATCAACATCACGAATCAAAGTGGGCATGAATTGTTGTGTGGAAAATGAATATACTCTAAACTTTCACTCAAATCACAATTTAAAAAAGGGTCGGGGGGCGGACAGGTCCACGACATTGTTCTGAGGTCCCCTAACTGATCTCTAAGCCAATTTAAGAGGAATTTCCTGAACTCTCTATTCAAATTTATTATCTCCTATGTTAAAAAAAAAAAAAAAAAGAGTCCTTGTGTAGTGCTGTGGGTTAATGTGCTGGATTGCAAGGTTGGTTTGAATCACATGGATGATGGTTCAAGCACATAAGCTGTTCCTCGAAAACCCTATACAGGGTAGTTATGGGTCAGAACCCACTCAGCAGCACTTAACAACAGCATGTTAAAAAATTTTAAAGTGGGAGTCCTGGTGTGGCACCATAGTATAATCACTCACCAGCCACACCTAGGAAACCCTATGCAAGGAACCGACTCAATGGCACATACCAACAGCACATGTAAAAATAATTTCTCTCCACAGTAGACAAAGTATAGGTGCTGATTCC